TCCCACGTGCAGGTGAAGAGATCCGAGCAGTGCAAAGTCATGTCCGTCGCAGTTGCGTCGCGGAGTCGGATTCTTTCCAGGCCCGAGGTTGCAAAAGAAACCTTTGACATGGCTTCGCTTCAAAGTACTTCGCTTCGAGAACCCTCTACCTTCCACACAAAGCTGTCTGTGGAAAGTGTCTCTGAAACCATGCCCTGATAGGTACCGGTCGCGGCGCGAAGCTGCTCTAACGGAGCGGCAGCGCATCAAGAAGGAGGTACGGCGCAAGCGCACCTTGTCCTCGACAGCTTTGGCAATGCAAGAAAGGCCTAACCTTTTTCCACGGCACGAAGGCTTTGGCAACGCTCAAAACGAAGGCAATATGGAGGAGCTACGCAAGTACAGAGAGGAAAACAAGCCCCGTTTGGAAGCGCAGGCTGCTGCGGCTCGGGCAGAGGCAAAGCAATTGCTGCAACTTTTGGCTCCCGAGGGCACACTGCCAATGACCAACGAGGAATGGTTGTCTTGGCTGGATTCTCACGAGGATGACTGGGAGCAACACTTGCGGAACAGCCAGGAAACACGCAGGTCGCTTTCGCACCGACTGAAGCCGTCTGCGGACCTTTTGAAGGAACGCCACGCGTGTCCTCGATTGCAGCCAATTCAGGAACACGTGCTTGTGCCCACGTGAGGCAAAAAGCTGTTGCAGGAGAAGCATGGCTTTTTCTGTTTGAAGGGCAGTCAGCGCAAGTGCGTTTTCTTCTTCTGCGGCCTCTTGGGCAAAGGCTACGTCGTCGAATTGGACCAGGTGAGCCATATGCGATTTGAGATGGATTTGGCGCCTCCGCTACGATCAAAGCTGTGCTCATTCCTGGTAGGGGTTCCTGCCATGCTGGGCCGCTGCCAGGATGAGATTGAGGTTTTTAAGCTCGACACAGAGCACGGCGTGCTCATCAATGGAACTTCTCTCCAAGTCAACATTGCCGGGGCAAGTGTGGTGCAGCTTAGGCAGCGCAAAGCCCGTGCCACAAAGGCGCACGATTCGGATCTGTCCGAGTCCGACAACTGTGACTTTGCCCGATGGAAGGACCCTGAGGAACCTGATGTACACTCAGACCTCGAGCCGGAGACAGAGCAAGAGCTGGAGCAGGAACTGGAGGAAGTAGCTGCAGACCCAGAAGGTGAGTCGGAGGATCTTGCAGAACAACCTGTTCCAGGAACCAACGTGGTGGCCGAATATAGTTCTCCTTCCTTCACGCTTGAGGACTACCATAAACGGGGAAAGGGGCAAGATTGCAAGATGCGGGTTCGTCCGCGCTTTCACGGCGATCTGCCAAAGTGCTTTGGCAAGAAGGAGCTTTGCAGGACGCTGCTCATCACAAGTTTCGACCATAATCCGGACGAGCCGGCTGTGACGTTCTTTACCGTGCCTCGCAAGGTGGCTGGCTGGCTTACAGCCGTGACCGCCAACAGTGGTTCGATGGTGAGGTAGATTCTCTCAAGCAGGAGGTGGCTCGTTTGCGGCAGCCGGGGGGAACCACAGGTGTGCCCAGCTAGTCCAAGCTTGGGCCCCACAGATTTTAGCGTGACCATTTCCAAGACCAGAAGCTTCTTGCGCGTGCTTGTTTGCAAGACGGGAAAGGTAGACGGGAAAGGTGTGCTTTTTGTGTCATAGTTGCGAAGTTGATTCGCTGACCCGTGTTGCCGTGGCCTGGCCCAGCTTAGCCTATTCAGCGACATAGCGGCTTCTCTCTTGCTGGTCTGCCCTCGACGGTTCCAGCTTTCAACTCCCGGCTGGATGCAATGCCGCCTTCCAAGCACAAATTGAAACTTGACCAGAAGGCGCTCGATGCTAACTTAGTGACCCCCCTGCTTGCAGGACATTCCCACTTGCTCGCTAAAAATCTTGTCCATTGTACCGACACAGACCGGGACTTGTATGAACAACGATGTTTTGCAGAGCTAAAACGCATGAGGCACGGATTGATCAGAAATGTCCACACTAGGAAGATACATGCGAAAGTCCGAGGCGGCATGAGCGGCAGTTTCACCGTGTACGCACTCAATGTCACCTCAGTCCACATTGCCTTGGCCGATTCGCTGGCAGTTTCTCAAGGAGCACCTGAAGCAGCGGAGCACCATGAATAGCCAGGCTGCCACGGCCTCGCCACAGAAAGAGCTGCCCGCAACCACGCCCACGCGCACATTGGCCCGCAACCCGAGTGCACCAGCAAAGGCAGAGGCGCCACAGCCAATGGTGAGCGCTGTCATCACGCTGGCGGACACCACGGGGGCGGGGGCAGTGGCCGAAGAGGCCCGGGAGGATTCAGACGTGGAAGAGACGCGCCGGACATGCGACAACTTGGACAGACAGGCGCCTTGGCCTATAGTGGCTCTGTTTCCAGCTGGGCCCCCGCAACGTCAAAACAAGTGAAGTGCTTCTCGGGGCGGCGGCTGCCGCCAAGGTCGTCTCACGGAGAAACTTTCTGCAGCTGTCCAAGCACAACCTCCCAATGTTAAAGGGTTCCAGCCAAAAACCACTAAAAACCGGATTGCCATGCCTGCTGAATGCTGGCTACAGATTTCGATTTTTCTTGTGGCGGGAGCATATGTCCGGCCAATTAAGCGGCCAGGTGGCGCCGCCACAGCGCTCCAGGAAGACGCCCATGCTCTGCGGGCTGTTGCAGAAACCTGTCACGCCCGTCTGAACGAGAAACTTGTACTGCACATCCTTCCCGTCGGTGTCCGGCACGGCCACCTTGATGATCCGATCCGTGAGCGAGTTCCCGTCCTTGCCGGCGAAGTCTCTCGCGGCCGACAAGCTCGAGAACCAAGGCTTTGGCGCCGAAGGGGCAAACACGGCGCGAGAAGCGCCATTCATAAATGAAAGCCCACCGCGCACAGGGCTTCGTGTTTATGGGTTTTGGCTGGATTACAGAGCACCATCTATTTTTCAGTACCGAGCCTTCCTCTCTTATGATAGCTGTCTGGCTCACAAGCATTCAGCTTAGGGTAGCGCCACCCGTGGCCTCGCCATACCTCCGATGGTGGGTGAGGCGTCCACAAACCCCGCATCTAGGGGGGGCGTGCACAGTGGGATCAGGCCAGCCGAGGCCTCAGTCGTTAGCTTGGCGTTGATGGACTTCGTGCCGTTGTTTGTCCTGTCGCTCCTCACGCTTGCTGCGCAGGCCTCGACCTCGCTGCCTGATGATGTCGCCTTGTGGTTGGCGGATTGGCTGGAGTCCGCTTGCTCCACGATGTCCGGTGAGAAATGGCATCGTCATGGAGAAGCCATGCTCTTCTTCACCTTCACAGCCACGCGACCGACTGCAAAGCCCATGTACTTGTGCCGCTGGTTGATCCTCGGACTTCCCGAGGACGGTGCTACCACAGCTAAGCCCTTGCAAGTGTTGTGTGAATTTTGTGATGGAGGTCTGCCCTGCCACTTACAGATGGGACTCTCTCTCCCTTGGGGTGTCCCATTTTGGCATGTTTGTGGATGGCAGTGCGAATGTTCGTTTCTCAGACGCTTGAGTCAAATGGTCCACTCTCCGTGGTGGTTGTGTTGCTGAAACCGCTGGATGGACAGCGTGGATGCCTCTCCTTATTCCCACGTGCAGGCGAGGTCTTCCTTTTCTGGAACAGCGCTTAGTTGTCTGCTTTACATCGGCAGAGGACCGGGTTTTTCGAGCCGGGGTTGGAGGTGGTGTCCTTCGATGTCTTTGTGCGGTGTGTTTCTCAGCATGGCTCACTTCGGGTAGTGCGAATATGTGCAATTTTTGATCCTGCTGTCGCTGGCACTTCTTCTGGAGCGCCCGGCGTAGTGCGTGACCATTTCTGTTTTTTTTTGTAGGCCTGTGCATTGCGTGCCAGGCAAGGATTGTAGCCCAAGGATTGGGCGTTCTTGTTTTATGGTGTGCACTCATCTGTAGTGTCTGGTTCTCGGCCTTCTGACGGAATGTCGCTGGCCTGCGGTGTCATCCGGATTCGCCGCTTGAGGAAGTCATGGCCCCAAAAGGTTAACCTTTTAGTCCCAGGTCCTTTGGGCAACTGAGTTCTTGTTGTTGGTCAAGGAAGTGAAGCGGTTTACAATTGAAGCCATGGGGGTAGAACGTTCGCTCGGATTCAGCAGGTCCAAATACCAAATATATCCAGCGGATTTCAGCTATTGGACTCGGACTGGGAAGGGTCATTGTACTCTTGCGAGACAAATTGAAAGTGCGGGGGCTTGGGTCATTAGCCAAAGGACCTTGTCACTTTGGTCAGTTGTGCCACTGGCCCAAATGAGCCAAGTGACACATGCAGCATGTCGCGAGGGATTGGATAGGAGTGGGCAATTGCATCAAGTGTCTTGCTTCAGTTCTGGGCCATTTGCTACCCGAGTTGGGGTCGTTGCAACGTCTTTGCCCCGGTGGCCTCCGGCGTCCATCCAAAGAGTTTTGGGTCCAAGCGACTCTGCCCCAAGTTCCTTGAGGGTCACAAGCGGCAGTGGGTCACAAGTGACCTAGTCGATGCAATTCAAGCGACCGAAGTGGTAGTAGAAATCAACTATACCCGTCCCGTGGGCAACAATTATACTAGAATGCCGGCAAACAAAACCCGCCAATGCCTTTGAACCACATCCTTAGCCAACGATTTTCGCTCACCCAGCCATAAACGCACACACGCGCATGGAAGCCAATGTCCAAAACACCCCAATCTCCAAGGCACATTTTGCTGGCCCACAATGCGATAAGCATCTCCGTGGGGCTGATGGGGGTAGGTTGCCTGCATCCAGGCTGCCGCACAGACAACACGCACTCCGGTTGTAACCTGTGGCTCTGCAATTTGCTTGCCCAAGGATCCATGAAGTCGATCATGCCCCTTCGCGGATGCCCGCCCGTGGCTTAAGCAAACACAGAAAGGAACAAGAAGTGACCAATGGCAGACCTCGCTAGACATTCATGCATTGTTCTCGGAGGCTGGCGGAGGGCGCCCGGATCCACTCTATCAGGCGAGCTCACAAGGCTACCTTGTGGTTTGGTTGCTTATGTCGAAGATTGGAAGCCTCCATGCCATGGATGGGCCTTAGGTTGGCCTTGTTCGCAATGTGCTGACATGCCGGCTGGCGATGCCAGGACCAATTTTGGACAGGGTGTCCTCGATTTCCCTTTCTGGAACGCAGTCTTAGTTGAAACCACCCAGTGAATTCATCAACTTGTGAGGGGGAATTCATCAACTTGTGGGGGGAAATCCGGTGATCCCTGTTGGATGATGCTTACTTTAAGGAACCAACCCAAGTTGCTTCCCCAGAACCCAGCAAAGGTTCCAATTGAAGCTTCTCGACTACAGGGATCGTGGGGTTCTGAGATCCATGTTTTTCCCCCAACAGCTGAAAGCTTTGGGGTCTCAGCCCATATAGGCTCCGGGGTGGTCCGGGGTGGCCCTGAGATAAGGCTCAAGGTTCTGCGAGGGCTGTGGGGTGGTCCGGCGCGGCCCTGAGATAAGGTTCCACGAGGGTTCCACCAGGGTTCCACAAGGTTCTGCGAGGGCTGCGGGCTGGTCCGGCGCGGCCCTGAGATAAGGTTCCACGAGGGTTCCACCAGTTTTCCACCAGGCTAACACCGCATGCTGTTGGGGATATCGTCTGAGCCTATTTTTGGACCTCCACCAGGCAAGCCTTTGACGCCGGGGATTTCGAGATTCCAGTTTGTCTAAGGTTGACCCCATATTAATACACCCCAGTTTGTGAATCGGGGGCGGGGGCCCCTCCAAAAGCGATGATTCCCCACCAAACCCAGGGAAACCCCGGTATGAATAAACTGGGGTAGATGAATATGGGGTCAACATTCGTGTGCTCCAAGGATGTTGCGACACCCTTTCGAGTTGCAGCTTAGGAGCGATGCAGGGGCTCGCCTGGATGAGATCAGAGCTCAGCTGGAGGGGCTGGCTCGTGTTCCTGCTCCGGTTTTGCGTCAAGCGAGAACAGTCTTCACCACTTCAGCTTACAGCAACAGCTTGTCTCCCTTAGTTAGCCGTTTGGTCAAGATATGTTTAACTTGCAGCAAAGTTTCGCAGAGAAGTGGAGGTGGAGGTGGCACACCGGCACACCGACGAGCATGGAATTCCAAGCGTTCTCGAAGCCCGGAAATGGCTGTGTCTTTTTTTGAGGATGCCTTGTTTGAATCCGGTGGTTTGAAAGGAAAACCAACATCAATTCCGGGGCGGGGGTTCGCTGCAAAGACACCCATATCAACATGGCTCTGTTCTCACAGCAATGGGATACGTGGACATAAATTTATGTCCAGCAAGCCATTGTGCGTCCAGCAGTAAATGCTCAGCGTTCCTTCGCTGTCCATTCCTCCCCCTTGCTGTCATTTGCTTTCCTGTGCTTTCCCTTGCTTTCCCTTGCCTTTCCTTGCTTTTCCTTGCTTTCGCTTGCTTTGCCCTTGTTTTCCCTTGCGCTCCCTTCCCTTACTCTGCCCTTGCTGTGCTTTGCTTTCCTTGGCGTTTCCTTGCTTTCCTTTGCCTTGCTTTCCCTCATTGTCCCTTGCTGTCACTTGCTGTCCTTATTTGCATGTGATTTCCTCCCCCTCATATTTTGAACGCAACTCCAGCGACAAAGTCGCTTTCCAGCATCTCGCACGGGGATGAGCTTGCAGCATTTTAGCAAAAAGCGCTGACTTTACTTCAAGTGCCTGTGCAGCACAGCGGGCAGCAAAGGACCAAGGAGGTTGATTTAGATACGAAGCTGCTGAATCTGTTTGTCTTGTACATTTAAATGCTGGAGGGCCCTGAAGCTGACAGCTTCGCACCGAAAATCGGTGGTCTTCCTCCCGCTTTAGGGTGTTTTTAAAGGGACCAACCGACAACCGCCTGCAAAGTTTGGTTGTTTTAAGACGGGCCACCCATTTCTCACGTGCCCAAAGCGAAAAGACCGGCTCTGACCTTTCGGTTTTCCCATGTTTGGCCCATTTTTCGCGTTTAGGCCTCAAAAGGACCTTTGCATGTCCAGGCCTTTTTTTCCAGGACCTTTTGGCCCATTTTTTTCCATGTGCTTTTTTTTCCAGGACCTTTTGGTCCATTTTTGTTGTTTTCAGGTCCTTTTGGGGCAAGTGAAATGATTCAGTGGGCGTTCGAATTCGGACGCGAGATCGCGAGAGGACGCTGTGGCCACGGAGCACTGCCAGGCCGTCATGGGCGGCGCGCTTCTTGGCCGAAGAGAGGGTCAAATATTATGTGAGCCACGTGCTCAAAACTCGGGTAGATGACGGTTAGGAAGGGACAATCCCAACCATAAATAGCTGCGGATATCCGCCTTTTAAATCCTTTACATGGTTCTGGGTAGACCATTTTTGATTGTGACTCACATTGGGCCGTGTTTGATGACATGTCCAAGAGCTTGGGAGAAAGTCATTGTCAGGTGGTTCCAAAGCACATCGTTTAGTGTTGAGAGGGAAGCCGAATCTTGGGGGCACATGGACCCCGAGCGCCCATCAGTTTAGAGGCATCTCCCCTTGGGACAGGGTCCCCTGGTGTTTGGTGGGCGCCCTTTGCTGCAAGTCGGGAGCTACAGCAAGAGAGTTCCAAACAATTTCAAGCAGAAACTTGCCACGAAGCGCCTCATGAGACCGCGCTTAGTATTCGGCAATTGTTCTTTTGAGGATCCAGGCGAGTTGCCAACGGCTAGCCGCAAACAAGTTTGCCAAAGTAGCCACATAAAGGCGGGTTGTGTGGTTGCCTTGGCTTGTTTCCTTACTTGTCTAGGTCCCCCAGTAGTGCCCTTTTACCAACTTGTTTGGTTGGGAGGGTTCCCCTACTCACCCTTATTCTAACCTCTCTACTGGAGGACCTAGTTGTTTGCTTGTCCGTTGGTTGCTGGCTGCTTGCTTCTACTCAAAAGGCTGTGGGTCAAAACCAATGGTACCATGTTGGGGTAGGTGCAGCACCCATTTTAGTCTAGTGGGGATTGAATCGGATGTTCACCGGGGTACAATTCCAGTTTTGACCCATGGCCAAAACTGGAGGCTTGTCTGTTTTGCTTCAGGCCGCGGCCGGACCTTGCCGGCATACCCGGCCTTTTGGCGGAGGCGAGGGTTGGGAGGTCGGAATTTCTGAGGCAAAGTAGCTTGGCGCCTGAAGGCCATCCGGTTCCTTAGCTTTTTAGATCCTTATAGCGGGTTTAGTGGTTGGATTTTCGAATTTAACCCACCAAAAGTTAAAAACACCTTTCGCGGATCAGAAAACGGGGCCAGCCCAGGTGGGCCCAATGTCAAAGGCTGGGTTTAGAAATGGTCCAGATATGAACCAAACCATGGCCATTTTGGGATGCGTGGCCAGGGTGTTCCACAAAACATTCGACGTGTCTCGTAGTTTTTGACCGGGCCACAGTCTGCAATCAACATTATTGTCTTGTTTCCTCCTTTCCTGGACGTATGCATTCAGCCTTTGACAGGAAACTCAAAGGGGATGAGTGTGCCTATTTAGCACCAAGACCAGCCATATCCACACAATATACCACTGTCTCGTTTAAAGGGGTGCGCCAAGGGAAAAGATGCCACGGCCACCAAACCCAAACCGACCCAAAGACGAGCCCCAGGTGCAGCGGCTGCTGCCGGACCTGCCTTCCTCCGAGCGCTCAGCCCTTAAAAGCAGAGTGTGCACGGCAGTGAGTTGCCGTCGTCGTTGTTGGCGTGTTTTGTTTTGGTATTTGTGTGCTTGTTTTGTGTTGTGGGTGGCTTGTTGTGTGTTGCTTGTTGTGTGTTGCTTGTGTTTGTTGTTTGTTGTTTCGTCTCTAGTTTTTGGTTGTTGTTGCGTGTTGCGTGTTGTGTGTTGCCTGCTTTTGTGTGTTTGTTGCTTGTTGTGTGTTTGTGTTGTGTTACCTGTTGCTTGTTGCGTGTTGCTTGTTGCCTGTTGCATGTGTTGGCTGTTTGTTGGTCGGTTGATGCATGTTGCATGTTGCATGTTGTTTGTTGTTTGCCTTTGATTGTTTGTTGCTTGTTGCGTGTTGCTTGGTGTTTGTTGCATGTTTCTTGTTGCTTGCCGTTTGCTTTTGTTTGTTTGTTTCTTGTTGCCTGTTGGTTGTTGTTTGTCGTGTGTTGCTTGTTGTTTGTTGCATGTTGCTGGTTATTTGTTGTTTGTTGTGTGTTGCTTGTTGTTTGTTGTTTGTGCTTGTTTGTTGGTTGTTACTTGTTGTTTGTTGCTTGTTGCTTGCTGTTTTTGTTCGTTGCTTGTTTCTTGTTGTTTGTTGTTTGTTGTTGCTGCTGAGATTTGTTTGTCGTTCCAGAAGGTTCAGACATGTTTATGCCGTTCGGTCAGGTCCTTCGAGCCAGTTGGGGCCCGGCCTCACATCGGTGCCCCGGTGAGAAGCTCTCCGGGCATGCTCTCTCTGATGGAACCTGAAAAAAAGGGCTCAATATCTTCCGCAGCTTTGGGACTCAATGCTGATCCGGGATTTATAAACCTGTCCCATTCTTAGGGGGGTGTTCGGTCTGAATGCCCACTAAAAGGAGACACCCCCCTATTAATCAACCCACGGGTTTATTAATCCGGGGTTAACACGAATAGACTTGGGGAAAAGAAGCCTCGGACTCGGACTCTTCGGACCAGGCTTGCCAAGTGATCCGCTTCTCCGAACCGCGCCACTGGGTTCACTCCACTCGGTTCACTCCACTCGGAAACCCCACGCGAAATGCGAAGCTGAAGAGACAACCTACGCGCGGCGCCATTCACGGCCAGAGCTGAGGTGCGAAAGCAGACATGATGATGGGCTGTGGCCTGGTCCCAAGGGTTGCGCATTGCGCCGGCGAGAAAACAAACAACGGACCGTTTTAAGTGTGAATCATTTCCTGGAACATACCCCTTTAAGATAGGCACACAATCAAGGGCTATGTTGTGGGTAATTAAATTCTGGATATGTATGGTTTAACTATCATATTTCTTCTCTGGGAGTTTGGTTTCGGCGTCACAGGGAGAAGTATTTACTTTCTTTTGTTTTTTTGTTCGTTGCACGCCGCATGGTGTTTGTTGTTTCAGCCCAGCCCTAAGTTAACAGGATTACAGGACTGAGTTCGATGGCTGTGTGGGTGTGATCCTTTGGTGTGCGCAAGCTGTGCGGAAGGTCGGCTTGCGCCATTCAGGACGCTGTTAGGTGTTGACGTTTTGTGCAGCGAGTTAGTCTGTGCTGAGCAAACTTGAGCCGGTTCCATTCATGGTTTTTGCCTTTGGAGCCGATGAGGATGCGGCTTGTTTGATGTTTAGGAAGCGTCATGGTTGCTGCGTGTCCGCTCTACTTTAAAGCAGCTCAATTTTTGTATCCAGAGGCACGCTTTGAACCTCCATACTGGCCGGCATGTTGCAGGCTTACGGACCGCAACATTGTTGCGTGTTTAGAAATGCTTGCGGCATCGGTTCAGGGCTCCTGGGTCCGCCCGTGATAAGAATCTGCCTGTGTCAGCCTCTTACCTCTTGAAAGGGCTTTACCCGGATATGCTCATTGAGGCTGACAAGCGAAGTTGTCTTGAACATGATTTTCACCCTGCTTTTCCAAGAGAGTGTGCAGATTATACCAAACATGTGACGGTGCCTATTTTTGTTGAAAACTTTACTGAGCACTAGATGTGCATAGTGCCTCTAGCTTCTTGGATTGAATGGACGACATACATACTCTTTGGTTTTCTGAGGGTCGTGGTTTGCAGGGCAAGCCGAAGGTTTCCAGCGCTCATTGGCTTCAGGATGGCACATGCTGGGCGAGGATGAGAAAGCCTTGGAGCCCCTCTTACGCGCAGTCTCCTCGCAGGGTGGGGGGCTTGGACCAGTCTTTGAGTTTCCCTTGTTGGGTTTAAAGGGAATCTATCGCTACTGGAGCTTGTTTTTTGTAAAAGCGGCTTGAGCAAATGGAAATTCAGCATGGATACGGAGAACTGTGTGTGAGGAGAGGGAGCACACGTGCGTGCCTGCCTGCCTGCGTGGCTGCATGCGTGCGGGGGTGTGCGTGTAAGCGCTTGTGTGTTTGTTCTGGTTCGTTGGTTGGTCGGTCGGTCGGTTGGTCGGCTGTTGGTTGGTTAATTAGTTGATTGGCTGGCTGCTTTGTTTGCTTGCTTGCTCGCTTGCTTGCTTGTTTCATTGGTTGGTTGCTTTTGTTTATTGCTGTCTTGCCTGCTTGCTTGGTTTATTTGGTTGTTGTGTGATTGTGTTTGTTTGGTTGGTTTGTTAGCTTTGTTTGGTTGGTGTGATTCTTTCCTGTGTTTGTTTGGTTGTGTTGGGTTTGATTGTGATTTTGCTTGGATGGATCGGTTTGATTGCTTGAATTGGCTGGTTGATTGAGCGATTGATTGATCGATCGGTTGAGAAATTGATGCTTGCGTGCGTGCGGGCGGGTGTGCGTGCGTGCTTGCTTGCTTGCTTGCTTGCTTGCTTGAGTGAGTTGTTGCTTGAGTTGTTTGATTTATGTTGCTTATCAGTTAGATGTAGATAGCTTGGCGAGTGCAGACAGGTACATATACATATAAATAGATAGACATGTGGGTGTTTACAAGAAGGACCAGGACCCGGACCAACCCAACGCCCAAAACCCAGGACTCACAACCCAGCGCCGCCCAAAGGAACCAGGAAGGTCCTGCAACCTGGGAGTCCTGTGACTTGTCCCAGGAATTCGCGTTTTGTGCACCCCGGGTTCCACCCAGCGACCGCGAGCGAAAACAAAAAACACCTTTAAGTTGCATACCACGCCGCTCCCCCTCTGGAATGAGCTTGAGAAGAGGAAGCAGCGGGGTCGGCGGATTTTCTTTGATTGTGCGTTTTGCTGTTGATCCATTATGTAGGTGTTTGATTCGGTTTGCATTGAATCGATTTTGGCTTGAACTGGTTCGGTTTTGAACTTGGTTTGTCGATTTCGTTTGAGTTGATGTGATTTGTTTGATTGATCGGTTGGTTGGTTGCTTGGTTGATTGGTTGACTAATTGATTGCTTGGATGGATGGGTGGGTGGATGGATGGATGGATTGCTTGATTGATTGATTGATTGCTTGCTTGCTTGCTTGCTTGCTTCTTGCTTGATTTGATTGATTGATTGTTTGATTGATTTGTTTGTTTGATTGATTGATTGATTTGACTTGAGTTGACTTGACTTGTTTTGATTTGATTGATTGATTGAGTGATTGGTTGATTGTTTGATTGATTGATTTGTTTGATTGATTGATTTGTTTGATTGATTGATTTGACTTGACTTGACTTGACTTGTTTTGATTGATTGATTGATTGATTGATTGATTGATTGATTGATTGATTGATTTGTTGAATGGTTGATGGTTTGATTGATTGGTTTCATTAGTTGGTTGATTTGATTGATTTGGTTGATTGATTGATTGATTGATTGATTTGATTTGATTTGATTTGATTTGATTTGATTGATTGATTGATTGATTGATTGATTGATTGATTGATTGATTGATTGATTGATTGATTGATTGATTGATTGATTGATTGATTGATTGATTGATTGATTGATTGATTGATTGATTGATTGATTGATTGATTGATTGATTGATTGATTGATTGATTGATTGATTGATTGATTGTTGATTTGTTGATTTGTTGATTTGTTGATTTGTTGATTGATGCATTGATTCATTGATTCATTGATTCATTGATTCATTGATTGATTTGATTCATTTATTGATTGATTGATTGAGTGATTGATTGATTGATTTATTGATTGATTGATTGATTGATTGATTGATTGATTGACTGGATGGCTTGGTTGGCTGGTTGGTTGGTTGCTTTGCAGGTTTGTTTGTTTTTTCTGATTGGTTGATGTGCTTGTGGTTTTGTTTTGCTTTGTTTTGTTTGTTTTGCTTTTGTAAGGATTCCTGCCATCTATGTTTGATTGCTTTGGGTTTCTGTGGTTGGTTGGCTGGTAGGCTAGCTGGCTGACAGGCCTGCTTGAATTCCCAATGTCATGTTCAAGATGGAGCGCACGGGTTCTCCGTTCGTTTGAGTTGAGCCCACGTTTTCGTTTGAGCGTTGTGTTTGCGAGTCTTGGCTGGCAGCCAGCTCTTTTGGCATCCTTTCTGAATCCAGCCCAGGATCATTTCGGGTTGGCCGGCGACACTTGGTGCTTACAATGGGGTGAGCCAGAGAGGACAGTTACAACCGTGAATAGGTGCGGCCATCCTGCTGGGGCATGGCTATTCACAGCCCGTTAGTACAAGGCATTGATTGTGGCTCATGTATCGAAGACTTCCTCAGTAACCCTTACTGCTCCCATTGCCAGTTACCACTAGTGCAATTGTGTCGGGCAACATGTGGGGCAACATGTGGCAACATTATCATGCAGGAGCCGTAAATACATTGCCATGTTCGCAGTTTTTCTTGCGATTGGATAGACAATAATATATACATATATATATATATATATGCGTATATAGTTATAGATATATACATATGTTGTATATGTGCGTTTGTTACATAAAGTACACCGCACATACCTGACATAAAGACTGGGATGTTGAATTGAGGCCTGGCAGTGAGTGACCACCTCTCCGCCATCCTAGTGGCCGGGGGCTTGACAAGCCGGCCATTTCTCGCGTTGCCTTTCAGGGGAGCATCCCAACCAAACTGCGGCCGTGGCCCAGGGAATGCCTGAAGCTTGCACAGGCAAGTGCCCATGAAAACAAGCTGAGGATCCTTATTCGTAATCCTGCTGGACGAAGCAGCCAACAATGGAAGTGCCGCTTTGCACGGGACTTCTGGATGTTTGCTTTGTTTTTGCACACATAGCGATCGCAAGAAGCAGTCTTGTCAGTTTGGCCAAACACCGCTGATAGGTACAAATCAGGCCAGACTTTTGAGCTGAACCAACCAGACAACAAAACGATGGTGACAACGAAAGCACCTTTCCTCCCATTCTGCATGTTATTCGCGTGCCAACGGCTGAACAGCTGGGCTGTTGGAGCTGGAGCTTCCAGAACTGCGCTGGTACTCAAAAGTTGCGATTCTTGAGCTGGAGCTGCCAAAATGCGTTGTGTGTATTGCACTTGTACCAAAAAGTCGCACTTCCGAGGTTCAACGTATATACAAAAATCACAAAGCGTTGCGAAACGAAACAAAAAGATAACCCCCAACGAGGAACGCGTGTTTTTTTAAAGCAACCTAGTGTGGGGAATTGCTATCCACTCCAGGTTTTACTCGCATTTATACTGAGGTCATGCCACTTCTGCGGCAGCGTTGCCGTTGGTCACAGCTGCTTCAAGCAGGCGAGGAACAGAAAAAGCTTAGGTGGCCATTGGCGGGGGAATTCGGAAGGGTACTTAGTAAGTGGTTAGTAAGTCTGGCTGTGTCCAACTGAAGGGGGACTTATAAGCATGGTACTTCACTGGGTTATAACCAGGCTTACGAACCACTTACTAAGTACCCGATCGCCCCTTTAAGAAGGGATTTGCGATGGATATGCACTGGATTTGGGCTGGTTGCGAGTTCGGGAAAACCCCTTATAAATGGAATTAGGGGTGGAGTTCGACCCCTGGAGATCTCCATTTATGTTTCCATTTCCCATGGGGAAGACTAGATGAATGGAATTGGGGACCCCTCGTCCGCCTCCCCTTTTGTGGTAGGGGGTGTCGTTTGCCCGTCCATTCTGAGGGGTGGCTTGAATCAAATACATTGGGGCTGTCTTTCGTTGGCTTTTTTGGATTGGCGCCTCGGATTTGGACCGCTTCTTCTTGAGGGTAAATCGGAAAGCACACCCGCGCCTCACCACCAAACGACCTAGAGGGAAGCTAGAGGGAAGCTGATTTGGGCTAGTCAAACCGTCTCTTCTGGCTGCAGCAGGTGATTTTGCGATGCGTCTTGTACGGAACCCTGACGAGGATTTGATATGGCAATCTGAGCGTGCACCATTCTCATGCATGGCATTACAATCCTCGGTGAGATGGAATTGTTGCAGCCAACTATGCGTTTGTTCACACCTGTGAAGATAGTATCTGGTTGTTTTCCACAAGTGGACCTTTGCTGGGAGATCGTGTGCAACCAACCTTTTTTCTCCACGCGGACCAGCAGAGAGGTGATGTTGAAGTATTCGAACGTGAACACTCTTTTCAATACACGCAGCCCAATTTCGGATTGTTGGGTATGTCATTGGCGGACTCTTGTCGGCTGTGCCCCTGGTGTGCTGGTTTGTGCGCAGGCTGATGCTTCACAGAAACTAACTTGCGTGATCATTCGATGTGACAGTCTTCGCAGCAATGGTGCTTGCTGTAGCCACTGCGCGTGTGTGCACAACATCAGGGCTACCAGGACAAGCCGCATCAAGCCACTTCGCAGTTGGAGGCAAGCAATGCAGCTGCTTTCTTTTCAATGATAGCCAGCACCAATTGGGCGTATCCTATTCAGGCTGGCTAAAGAGAAACCAACAACGAAAACCCATCATTGTGGCGGTCCCTCTATTTTGACACTTTTATTTGGCCATGGGTCAAAATCCCGTACCCCCAGTGAACATCCCAATCCCCACCGAAATAGACTAAAATGGGTGGTGCACCTACCCCAAAATGGTACCATTGGTTTTGACCCACAGCCGTTCATCACCCAGACACGCAACCAAACATCCACTAGAAGTGCCGCTCATTCATACAGCTGCGCATCCAAGACTCGCGTCTAGCATCGAATACCTGAGGAAGTGAACAGGGGCTGTCCTAACATGTGGGATCACCAATTTGGGCCATTCGAAGGGCCCTCGCAACCAGTGCTGGGAGTGCCCAACGCTTGGAGGGCATCCTGAATTGACAGGCTGGAGCAGCCAGAAGTTGGTCCCTGCTTTTTGCTTGGTGCCGATCGTTGGCGGCCAATCGAAGAACTCGTCGAGCACCTGGTTGCTCAAAATTCGGAGGACCCCCGCTTGGTTTCCTCTGGGTTTCGACTTGAGCCCAGGCCCAACACGACGGGTCCAGAGTTGTCAGAACCACCTCATAGGTTTAACCACCCGCCTGAGCAAAGCGAGTCAAATTCCGAATCAGGTGAGAAAGCCTACGATCTGGCTGGGCGCTGGGCTGAGGGCCCCAGCATGCCTTCAGCCAACTGTCTTTTAGTGACCCAACTGTCACCCCGGAGAAATGGCCCCTGCTCACGGTAGCTGCCAGCAGTACCACGTGTCGTTTCTTAATTTGTTGTTGTATGATGTTTTATGTATTTGTTGGGTCTTATTATTCCTTGTCTTCCTTCTTTTCTTCATTTACTGCACAGTTGCGGTGGTTTTGGTGTATTCAGGTGTTTCATTTGTTTATTGATGTGTTTTGCTTCATTGTTCACTTGATTTATCATGATTTATCTATCCTGGTTTATTCTTTCCTCAATGATTGTTATTGTGCTTGTCCGGCTCTTTTTCCGCCCGCTTTCACACCCCCCACCCCACACCCGTGCAGCGGTCCTCTCTCGCATCCGCTGGATTAAACCAACCCGAAAAATGGTCCTTTTAGATAGATATACTCCTTCCATTTGCTTAAGAATACGTTTTGTTTTCCCTTGTTGGTTTGAAAGGGAATCTATCACTACTGGAAGTATTTCTATTTTTCCCAGGGGGCTCAAGCAAATGGAAAACTTGGATTCACTACGGGGCCCTGGCTTGGTTGTGAAATATCCATACTGGTTGGCCACAGATATGGCAGCAGATATGTATAGCAATGCCATGGTTTCCAGTATCGGCCACATGCGCTTGCAACAGGCCCCTAGATAGAAAACATAGGTGGCTTCTTAATTTCTCGAATTTGTGACGTTCACCCGGATGTTGGCTTCATGTATGCGGCTGGCATCGGCCGGCATCATCCGTTTGGCTCATGTGCTCCAGCCGTTCAGCGACCTTTGGGCTGGCACGCGGAGCCTCGTCGGCTCAACGGCAGCGTGGAATCAGGTGGCCTGTAGTTGGTGGCTTGGGGATTGGAACAGAACAAACTTACCCCTCAGCCACCAAACCACTTGGTGGTCGTTGGGAAACATGTTTTTTTTTTTCCAATTTTTGCTTGTTGTGGTTTAGTGGTTGAAATCCAAATCCACTTAACTGCTAAAAATGATGATTTTTTGCCCCCCAAACCCAACGTCGACCATGACCAATCCAGACCACCGATTGGAGGGAAGCTAAGTGGATGCGCTCGAAATGTGACAGGCCAAGCAGAAAACTCTTTTCGGAGTCCTCGCCACCAGGCCTCTACGGATTTTTCCGGGTATTTGTTCTATGGATCTTGGCAAATGGGTATGGGTCAAAATGTTGTACCATAGCCACATGTGTTCGTCCTTCCCATTTACCAGAGCAAGCCATGTGGGATACCTAGTCTTGCCCCACAACCATATGGGTGTGGGTCAAAAAAAAGGTACCCAGAATGCAACAGTAAATGGAAACATGGAATCAAACCTGCATAACCCCTCCTGTATGCTTCCCCAGAATTAGCTCCCCTTTTTGCTTTTTTGCTTTTTGGGGGTTCCCTTTGTTTTCCACTAACCAGGCAAAAAATATATTTTTTGCTGGGGTCCTAATTCCAGCCTAGTATAAATTTGACCCACAGCCATCTTGCCACGGCAGCCATGACTGCGCACTGCCATGCCGTTGAATGTGGAAAACCGCAGCGATCTGGTGGTCTGTGGGCTGTCAGGAAAGCGCCGCTTTGGCAGTGGAAAGCTTGTAACACAAGGCGGTCGGGTCTTTCTTTTGCGGTGTGTCCCCACAAAAGTGGTGGTTTTGCTCTTGGTTCCCTTGTATATACTTGCATGAATACATGTATGAAGAAGTACATGTGCTTTATGGGTGTCAACACTTGCATTCCGGTCGCCCAACAGAACCCTATCGCGTGGGTTGCCGATCAGAGGCCACGAGGGCGTGGTTGTTTGTGTTTTGCTTTGCCCAGAGGCTCCCCGGTTGATTTAGGGCCTTCAAACCACTCAACCAACTGCAGGCTATTTTCCTTGGCTGTCATGCCCAGTGATTTCATCCGCAACTCAAACATCAGGGCAAACAACCTGGTTGTGAGACCCCCAACCACCTCCGAAGTGTCTAGTGGAGGGGTCGGGTCTTCCATTGAAAGCCCTTTTGAGCCTCTGGGTGGTCAGATTCCCCTCTTGCCAAGAACCGGCATTGACTGATCGGCCATCGGCCGGTCGCAATCCATTTTGTTCAGACAGCTTCGAAGACCACGAAACTGGACATGTTCATTGCTCAGGGGACGCATTGGTTCTAACAGGCGTGCTAGGATGATCATAGCATCCTAGAAAGCATTTGGGGGTGTCTTTGTTAGCTAAAAAAAAACTGGGCGCAAAACAGAAGCGGAAGCAAAGCTTACCTCAGTCCTTCCCAGCTCGGAGGCTAAAAGCCTTTTTGCAAGTGGTCAACCCCAAACTATTAATTTCAAGCATACTTCTTTTTGGAAACAGAAGCCCAAAAGGTCTCACAACGGGGGTGCGAATGGGAGCCCCTGATGCTCCCGACTCTGCTTGTTGTTGCGTCTTCTTCAAGGTGTTTGGGGTGGGGGACATCTGGCAATGCTAGATTAAGCACGGGAATTTGAGAGCAGGTCTTGGCAACATGAAGTTTCGATTCTGCTATACTAAACAACTATTTCTTGGCCTGTTAGCACTGGTTGGGGGAAGGATAGGAGCAAAAGAGGCGCCACCTATCCGAGCGCTTAGCCTCACTTCGCGAGGTCCTGGGCTTCAAACTTTTTGTGTTTGGACCATTTTGGCGGTTGGGTGAGGAGTGGGGGGGGGGTTGGGGGGGAACCACTCGATCGGAAGTGAGTTAGTATGCCGAGCTACATGTGGCCAAGGCTATTCCGGCGTGGCGGAGCTGCGGTCCATGATCCAGCCCCTTTTGCCTCCTGGGGTGGCTCCTCGCTCGGTGGGAGCTGGGCGACCGGTGGTTGGGGGGTTGGGGGGGTGGTAGGGTTGGGGGGGTGGGGGTTTGGCGGGTGAAAGGTCAAATCAAACTGGATGTGGGCGAGTGGGAACAGCCCCAGCAGGCAGTTGGCAGTTGGTTTTCGCCACTTGACATCCTTCCGTAGGCCCTTTCTCACCCTTTTTTGGGGGAGCGTGCCCCAACTAAAATAGACTACGGGGGAAAAAAAAACATGGTGCACTTATTCTAACATCTGTACTGGAGGACCTAGGTATGTCATTCTTGGTGACGCCTTGCAGACATTGAAGCGTTGGTTAGTTGTCATGTTTGGATTAGTGAGTTTCTTGGCCTCCCGTTGGAACACAACGCGTTGCTTCTTATTCGTCAATAGACGTATCAATCGATTAACAGAAGACTTCTGACTCCGCCGCAAAACAGGAATATGGCAGCCGGGGCATATCCCAATCTACTACTTGAGCGTCGGCAGGCTGTTGTCACCCAGGTTGGTCACCATGCTTCAAACCAGACCAGGATTCCATTGAACGAGACAGGGAATAACGCATCTAAACCATCCCCTGTACCTTCCCAACACCCGGGCTCGGTCATTCCCTACCTATCGCACAAGAAGGTGATTACACGGATGAACCTGGGGATTCCCTGAACGGAAACCATAGGAGATGGTGCATGTATAGGGGTCCTCATTAAAGGAACACAGAAGCCTTCCCATTTTCGGGGTACCAGTACCGATCCCTGTTTTAAGCCAAACAAACCGTACTCATCTCATCATCAGAAAGCACAAAGAAACATATGCTGACTCGCGTTTGTTTCTCCAAGGGCCCGTGTTCGGAAAGAACGTGTCCCCCAACCAAGGTTGCTTGGTTCGTTCGTTCTTTTGTGCCTTCGTTTGTTTGGTTGTCGGTTCGTTTGTGGGCGCGTTGGCGGGTTGGGTTGGGTTGGGTGGTGGTTTGGTAGGGTTGGGTTCGATTGGGTTGGTTTCCTTTGTTTGTGTCTTGGTTGGTGGGTGGGTTGGCGGGTTGAATTAGGTTTGAGCTGGGTTGCGGCGGGTGGCTGGGTGGGTTGGCTGGACCAAGGTGCTGATCCCTCGCGATGGCCTTTGTTCCATGGAAGCGCTGAACCGCTACGTGAGGCGCTGAAACGCCTCCGAGAAATAAGTCTTCGCGGTTTTGATGGGGCTGGCCCTGTTTGTTGTGCAGGGGTAGGGGTCGGGGATAGTTGTTTTCTTCATTTTTTTGCATTTTTTTTGAGGGGGGGGTGGGGTGGGGGGGGGGGGGTGTTCTTGTTTGTGCCCTTTCCTTGGTTTCTGTAGTTTCTTTGGGTGAACTCGGGCCAACAAGCGAAGTGCTTGGTGACCCCCCACGCTGGGTCAATTGCGCCTGCCTTCGCCTTCGCATGACTCGCGCTCGAGGTGGGCCCGCGCTTGCTTCTTCATTCGCGTGGAAGCTCCGGAGTCGGTCCGTGAGGCGTGGGCTCGCTCGCTCGCCGTGTGAGGGGCCCGTGCTGGTCGATTTTGTGGCAGGGGGGGCCGTCTTTGTGTGGGGTGGAGACGTCCAGCGCCAGGAGTTGCTTGCCACAGCGATCTTGTTGATGGCGCAAAAGACAATTCAGAAACTAGCGGCGGAAAGGGGGATGCCCAGTGTTGGGACCACTCCTGTAATTCTGTCAAATCAAGTCGGCCTGCAATACTAAATTGACACAAGCAACTGCAGAACGAGAATACGTTCAAAGTGGTGAGACCTACACAGCAGTTCCATGTCCAAGTTGCACCCCCCGGTGTTTAGGGGGGCCCTTGGAAGGATCGCTGACAAGTACTTCCCTGCGTTCACAGCAGAAACCTCTGAAGCAATCCAACACACGCCAGCAGAAACTCATCTTTTGGGGCGCTCACAGCGGGGTGTGGGACGGAAGCCAAGCGGAAGCCACACATTGTGAGTGTACCCTATGGTGGACACCCGCATCTTGTTTTCGGCGTCTGGATCTCGAGTAGATCGGCCCTGGCATGATTCATTTCAAGCGAAAACACTGACATGGATCAAGGACAATCATGAAGGCAATCCTGGACATAACAATTGACATGGTGTTGATCATCGTCTTTTGTTATCCATGTTGATCGAATTGTAGTCTTCCCATTGACGTTTGCTAATATCACCTAT